CGCTATGCTAGATCTCGGGACGTAGTTTTTGTTAGACCAAATTTTAGAGTTGGTGTTTTAGGTTTCTTGGCCGCAGAAATTTTAACCAAATCCGTTCATCCACCAACATCTGGTAACTATGGTCTTTCGGACATTTTGGCTGCTTTGGATTGGGTGCAAATGAACATCAGACATTTCGGTGGTGATCCAGAACAAGTAACATTGCTTGGACATAAATCTGGAGCTACTTTGGTCACATTACTAGCTACTTCCAAATTAGGTAATTTTGTAAAATATGTTGCAATAATAATAAGAAAGTTATATGTATTATTAATTTATATTTATTATTAAGGTTTGGTTTATTAAAATATTATTTACTTATTGAATACTTAAAAAACGAAATAAACTAATGGTTATTAGTTGTGATGATGGTTAATAAACAATATTAACCATCATCACAACTTTCCTAAAATAATTGTTTTAGAATAATATAATTGATAATAAAACTTAATGTTTTTTATATAACTGGTAAAAAGCTTTTTATATAATTTATTTTAACAAACTTTTTTTATTCTCAGCTAAGAAAAAGTTTTCACGCGTCTGGGTAGCTTCAGGCTCAGCTATTTTTCCGGGTCAGCCATTACGCGATACCGAGTTGGCCAATGAACGTTATCTTCAACAAATAAAGTGTAGTGATGTTGAATGTCTTCGAAATGCTGAAGCTGAGGATCTGCTTGAAGCAGTTCCTGACACTTGGAGAAAATCTTCTCCTGATCTACCAGGTGTGCTGGAAGAACCTGATAAGAGACACCAATGGCTTGCTTTAGATGGGAATATCTTGAAGGAACATCCTGCAGATGTTTGGGCTAAAGAAAATAATAATAATGAACAAGGAGCTAATGGTGAAGTCAACATGGTTATTGGTAAGCATTCATATTACTTCATAAATCAAAATCAAACTTATTTTGGTTTATTTCTTTTTCATCTAATTAGTATCTTATATATTCTGAGAAGTATTATTGTAAATTTATTCGGTTTAATTTTTTTAGGTACTACTGTTCATGCATCTATTACTGAAAAATTACGTTTAAAGCATGCTGATTGGACACCTGATCTAGTTGCCAAACATGTGAGAGACAGTCGATTAGGGAAACTAGGATTGGCTGAAGAAGCCCTTAGAATGTACAATACAACATTTGCAGGTTTAGTGGCAATGATATCTGATATACGAACAGTTTGTCCCTTGTTGACCATCACTTTGCAAAGGCCAGGAATACCTTTTTATGTTGTGACTCAGACTAGACCTGATGGTTTTGCAGATGCTGACTCGGATGTCGAAGCTATTTTGGGTGAGTTTTTGGATGATATGGGATTTTTATATTATCAAATTGATATTTTGATTATATCCGGCAATTTAAAGATTTATAAATCATGTAAGAAGATTACTACTATTGTTTATTAAATTGCATTTTATTTTGCTAAATGTTTATACGGAAATTTTATTCAACCGGTTCAACTTTGAAGGTTTTCCATTTTGATTTGTCGTTTTTAATAATTTTAAAGCTCTTAGATGTAACTCTATATGGACCAGCGCTTGTCAGTTTTTGAAGCAAAGCCTTTTTTTTATAATTGGCAGAAAGGTGTAAAATTTTTTGTCCACGTATTAGCCCACAATCTTAAATCGACTTTGAAAGTTCAAAAACGTTTTTTAACACAAAATCGTTGAAATGTATTAAACAAATTAATTTAGCTCATACAATTACAAATATTATAAGTATGTTTGAAAAACATCAATAGGAAATCGTATCAATTATTTTTAAGTGAAAATGTTATGTTCGGAATAAGCAGTTGAACATTTTACCTAAATTGCTGAATCTCTATTCTTATTAATTAAGTTACACACAACTTGTCTTAAGGCAAAATACTACTAGAATTTTTATAAAAACTCTTTAATCTTAATTATTTTACAGGCCGATATGAATCTGGAACCCCAGAACAAAGACGTTATGTTTCGGCCATGCAACAGTTATTCTACTACTATGTATGGCATGGTAAAATTCCTCAACTTGAAGAAGGATTAGGACGCGTGTTAGATATTGGACAGGATGTTATACCAAAAACAAATTACCCACATTGTGATTTTTGGATTAGTAAAGATGTTGTGCCACGGTACGCACATTTAGATTAATTTGTGAAACGTTAATATTAATATTTAATGTGTTAATTGTAATATTTAACCTCTATTAACAAGTTTAAAATTTTCATATTTAACTATCACAATTATATAAAGCCACAGTCACAGATCAATATTTTTGTTGATTAAAACATTCAAAACAAGAAGAAAGTGATGTCAGAATACTTTGTTTATTATATATGTATGAGACTGATATTTTAATTATTTTTAATGATGCACAAGTATTAAAGTGACGGAATGAAAAGTTCCAATCTCATTTTCAAATAACTTTAGCATTAATCTATAAGACAAATGCAATTCACTATTAAATTTAGTATAATATCTGATGCCAATCCCTTCACAATATTAATATTTATATTTACTAATAATAGTATTTTTTATATTTAAAGTCCATAATAACAGACTGATTTTTAGTTTTATATAAACATACCTTTTATACTATATAGTATTATACCCTAACAATATCAATTAATCAGAAACAAGTAGCTTTTTTAAATATAGCATGGAAATTACATGGCAAATATTAGAAATTTTAGTTTTATACGTACCATTATATGAACTCGAATTGAATCCTGATGGGAATTCTAAAAGATAATGATCAATGAGAGAGTATATATATTTATCATTAAATATTCCTTATTATATTTTGATTTGGAATAAATGTTAAAAACATTTTTGCTTTACTGATATTTGAATAAATAATACCTTATTAGAAAAAATTACATTTTCAAAACTAATTGATTAAACATGATTATTCAAACACTTTTTTGTTTTTATAGAAATATCCATTAATATCAATCTATCTTTAAATATCATTTGTTATTGTAAATTTTATAAAACAATGATTAAACTTATGTAAATAACTGCATACAATGATTATAATAATACTGCCATTTTTTTATTATAGATATTTGATACTTATGTATATTTGCTATAAATTTAGTTCATAAAAATGTATTGATAGGTTTATATATATGCATATATCATTGTCGATATTAAATATTTATTAATTTATTTTTATATTATTTAATCTATAGAGCACTGAAATTGTAATGATTGTATTATTTATGCATAAGAGTTTTAAATTTGTATATGTATATTTTAACATACCGATAATATGTATTTTGTAAAAATATACTCTTTGCTAATTTAATAAATTGTTTCTTAACATTTGTTTAATGTACATTTTGGTCAACGATTTCAGACCGATTTGGATATATCATCTCATTCACATCAATAAGCGCTTAGTCCTGGCCACACCCTCTATGTCATCATTTCCACATGCTTAAATTATGAGAGACTATAATTTTTTTCAAGATTTTCATGCAAACAAATAATGATTTAGATCCGAAATCTACTTTCTTAAATAATTTATTAAAGGAGTAATACAATTGTTTATTTATTTATCATAACTATATTTATGCTTTTTGATATCAGAAAGACATCATTTATAATTTTATTACATAACTAGCCGACCCGACAGACTTCGTTCTGTCAAAAAAAATTGTAATGCAGCGGTGTTTTGTTCCTACCTTTTTTCTATTCTTTGCAAAAAATTATCCTGAACAGAACCGTCACTCTGGTAATAATTCGGTGTGAATTAAAAATAATTAAATAAAACACTATAAGCATTTAAAAGTAAGTAATTTTAATAATGTAAATCATAATTCAAAAATCAGTTCAATTTTCATTGTAGTGCTTTGTGATAAACGATGTTTTTTGTTTGATTACCTGGCGCATAGACAAACAAATCTGATGGTTTTCCAATACGGGAACAGACAACATACAATTTTCCATGTGAGAAACATGGGTTTTCCAAATTAATACCACAAACACTTAATGATACCATAAACGCACTGAAAACTGTAGTCGTTTAATCTCAAATGGCACATCAGTCGGAATCATTGGGATGCACGGTGCGAGAACATCTTCTGCTTTATACTATCCTTTCAATACAGTTGCTTCCATCATGTTGTTTGGTAGTTTTTTTTATCTCTAACCTTGTGCCGTTGCAAAGGCGCGGTTGGTCGATATTTTGCAACATTATATTGCCGATCCAACCTTTATTTGAAGATTGTGAGGTGACAATCCTAGCAAATCCAGCGAGTTTAAAAACTCCGGTGGATCGTCTTGGTTAGTTGCCGAATCAACTGAGTCGCCTGTAATTTGTTCTTGAATTTTGAAATTTAATTCATTTACATCATTGTTTTTGGATGCCAATATAGCTCGTTAATTAATAGAAAGATATTTCAATGTTTATATAAATATATTAAAAATTAGATTATCAAAAACTACACAAAATGTCATGACATAGATCGTTGTTTTTTCTACAAATTTCATTGCCTACTCGATTAAAAGAGAAATGGGCTGTTTTTAGGGTTTTCCCGGCGATTATTCAATTTTTTAGGCCATAAGAACCATCCTTGGACATGACCGAACATTTTAAAAAAAGAATTGGCCAAATTGGTCCAGGCGTTGTTGAGTTATGCGCTTACCAACACATTTTGCGATCCATTTTTATATATAAGATTGCGATATAAGCCCTTGATCTCTTTTTTATATTATTTTCATTCTAACAATTGTACTTCATACTCATATATAACGCATAAAATGAAACAACAGTACTCGAAAGCATGTAATTTCAAATTGCGCGCCAAATTCATTTAAATTATTATTATATTTAAATATATCTGGCAATACTAATATTATGACATTTAAACAAATTTATTTGGTATTTGTTTAAATTTTAAATTGCATAATTTATCTTTTCTAAAAACTTAATATTGTATTAAAAACGATTACCTATGATAATAGGTTATATGATTTTTCATTACTTTGAAGATAAGATAATATATCAAGACTATACCAGTTTTTCATATTTAGCCGCCATGTTCAGTTTAGTTCGCGGTGTTGTGGTTGCAAAAATGTTGTATATATTTATAATAATGACAAGTTAGTGAGCCACCAAGATAATAATTAAGATTTTTATTAACCATAATGCTAATTCCGAAGAATACATCAAATGTAATACAATGTGTAACATGCGGTGCTGAAAATCATAAAAATATATCTATGCAGGACTGTGTCAAAATTAATAATTTGTTTACAAAGTTTGTTCCTGATTTCACCTTTCAACAAATTAAAGATTGTGAAAATGTTTGTATTGAATTCTATTTCCATTATATTATAACTATAAAAGTTTGATTCTGTATTTTTAAGGAAACATCACATAACCTAACTATTTTATAATTAGTTACAATTATTATTCTAAAGCTAAATTTAATGTTATGTGTGGCTTATTGCCTTTAGGAAATCGTATGAAATATAATATCGTGTAAATGTATTATCTTGGCGATTATTTTAATTGCCAATTCTTCTGGTATCAAATTGATATTTGATATTTTTGTCATAACATCTATATGCATATGCAAATACATACATGCATACATACATTTATTATATTCTTATATGAATACCGGCATGGCCTTTGAGCAAGAAGCTTTATTAAGATAAAAATCACTTAGAATAAATCAAGTTAACTCCTATTTCTGTGAGCTTTTCTGACATACATTCACCTGTTTTACGAAAAACACAATTAAAAAATAACATTTCTGCAAAAAGAAAGATAGAAATTGAGTAGTTTGTTGTGCCTTTATTTACATTTCTTTATAATTATTTCATTCTTGGTATCTCTTTCCTTTAAGTATGGCCGTGTAGTTCTTGAATTGCTATCACTAAACAGTTTGTTAATTTTATTGCACACATTATGTTTGCATTGATACAACTTCAATAGAATATTCTTTTTGAAGTATTTGACTAGCCCCGACACCATATATTGGCCATGTATACAATTTTCTGTATGTGTATATATATGTATATATATATTCACCTTTGTGATTAATGATTATGTACATTGTTTGTATTTTGAATAGAACATTATTGTCTTTAGGGGTTCTGGATATTATTTGTAAACTTAAAGCTGATTGTCTTTTTATATTTCTGATTATATGCATAGTATGTATTCACTATTTGTTTGTTTGAAGAATATTTTCATTTAAATCAGTATTCAATATGAAAGTTTTATTATTATAATAAATTGTTAATAATTTATTTATCAAATATATTACAGTGGTTGTTAGTGATCATTTGAAATATTTTTTTTTGTCATAAGCCATGCTGGAATAAATAAATTTATAGTTTTGCTTAATGTTAACGATGGTACTTCTATTCCAAATATTCTTAGATATAATCAAACATTTAAGGATAAATCATTTTATAAGGAACCATGTTGCATATTTATTTTGTTTTTATTTCACTATTCTTTTAACTTTCACTTTTATTTGTGAAAAGACATGTTATTTCATAAACTCATATTTTTTAATGTATTTTTAGTTATTTCAAAAAAGTTTACTGAGCTTGAGTTGTGCTCAGTGTTGGAAATTGACACGTGCCATATGTGATTTTCGTATGAGGTCTCTGATAAGCTCTAACAAGCTTCGGATGAGATACGTACAGGGAGAAAGCGAGCGGCAGACGCAATCATCTGCTGAGGAGAATTGGTTGAAAATTATTGATGTCATATCTCAGAGTGGCAGGTTTGGCAATACTTTTTTATTTACTTTATATATATATATAGATCTTGAATATTGATTTTCAGCCAATTGTCGAAATAAAAAAAAACTAATAAACAAAAATATTTATTTATAATATTCGTTTTGACACCGATTATGTGTCATCATTCAGCAGTTTTTGTTAATCAATATATAAAAGAATATTTACAAAGTTTAAAAAATAAATTTAATGTTTTATTTGGAATAATTAAAAAATAAAAGATATACATACGACACCAGAAAAAAACATTTTTTTGATACTACATATAGAAAATAAACCATACATACATTACATATAAAATAAATATAGAAAATAAACATATTAAGTGAACATGTTTTGTTTTTAATTTTAAAACTGAAAATTTGTGTAATGTAAGTTCTGAGCAAATCAAATGCATACAACTAAAAGTCACGTGACACACAAGAGTGTTTAGGAGAGATTTCAGGGATAACAGTGCGGACACAATTTTGAAAAATAAAACATAAAATCAAATAGACTATGATAACATAATAGTCAAAGATTAAATCTAACATTAAATCAGTCAAAAATAATTTTTGAAAAAGTTGATAAAATTATGATAAGTCATGTACTAGAAAAAATCTAATTATTATATATATATATATATATATATATATATTTATTTATTTATATATATATATATATAAATATATATATATATATATAAATATATATATATATATATATATATATCCTAGCTGACCCGGCAAATGTTGTTTTGCTAAGTAAGGTATATTCCAAACAATTTCTAGAAAATCTAAATATTAATACTTCAAGTGTATAAGGATGTATTTGAATGCTATATATAATGTAGTATTATAAAAACAATAAACCCCATTAGTTTGTCTATATTTTGTCAGTACAATCAAACTGGAAGATTTATACACTTTCTATAGAAAACATAGTATAATCCATCCAAGTCTTTTTTGGTCTTTCGACTTATTGATTACTTTTCAAGTTTTTCAGATTCTTTTTGGATTCTGGATTTTGTGTATAATTGTAAATAACAATACTGAGCTTATAAAAAATTTTCAAACTTCAGTGAGGAGAGATAGAAAATGAATTAAGTATTACTTCTTTGACCTGCTTTTTGAGAAGTTTCAAGTAACATTCAATGAATTAAAGTAAATTTAATAAAAACTATATATGTAGAGCAGGGCGAGGCACAAAGGTCCAATTTGACTTTGAGCAAATATTAATGATATTATATAAATTAAACCAATTATATCACAACAAATAACGGATTTCAAACGAACTATTATCGGACTACGTTCAGTAAAACAGTCAGCTACTTCATCATTGTAGAAAGGTGCTTTTTTGCTGTCATTCACAAATTTGTTATCTAGACTTTTTTATCCTATAGGCGGAGTAACTTGGAACGGCCAGGTAGCAAACGGGTTTAATGTCTTAGTTTAATCTTAAAGGTATTTTACAAAACAATTACATTTTTAACTAATGCGAAAAAACTACCAACGGAAGAATTCAGAACCTGAATTTGGTATCGATCAAAGGGACATTTCATACTTTTATTATAAATTTTCAAAGATTAGCGTTTGCTATCTCACGATAGCAAAGTCATGAGCTGTTTTTTTGCATCTTTTTCCCTCTACTTTCAAATATTGTTGTTAAACAATGCTTAACTTTAATGGTGTTTGACACATCGGTAGTGGACTTTTTTCACCCCGGACTTTCATATATTTTTATCTATGCTTCGATAAATTCTGGAAAATTATAACTGGAAAAATGTTATTCGACAAAATGTCCCTTTGATCGATACCAAATTTAGGTTCTGAATTTAAATAATATGAATAAAAAATAATATAACCTAGGAAATGTTTTATAAATACCAATGAGTATATAATCATACAAATAAGATCTTTCAGAACACCGTGTTTGAGAAATATGATTTGCATAAAAAGAGTGCTACAACGCCAAAAACTGCATTTTCATATTAACATTTCAAAAAAGTTGATATTTTGAGTTATTATCAACACTTGCGGCCCGTTTAATAACGTTTTGTATATAAATAAAACTACAACTAGCTGTAAGTGGAATTCTGTCTTAAGGCAATTAAGGCATCGTGCCTTAAGGCAAATTGCTGGAACTTCCCGTGCCAAAAATTATTATTTTTTTGAAAACGATTAACATTTTTGAAAAAATTTCACTTCGAAAAAATAAGATTTTTTAGAAATTTTAAATCGGACAAAAATTACTTTTTTTTGAAAAAAAAAATTTTTTTTTAAAAAATTTTTAAACAATTTTTTTTATAAAATTTTTTTTTTGGAAAAAATGTTATCTTCATTTGATATATTTGGAAGATCTGAACTTTTTTTCAAAGCAATCGTACTGCTTTAACTGCATAGAGACGAAAATATAGAAGCGCGTAAGCGCCGCGTCGCTGTCTAACGGAAAAACAATAGTACGGAACCCATAGGAATGTAAACAAAACTTATACTTATTGTTAAAATCTCAATAAAATATCTGATAATTTGATATGCATATGTCTAATGTCTAATGATTATTGTTGACCGCCAAATGTTATTTTTTTTTAGTTTTTTTTACTAGATCTCCGAAACCGCTGGACCTATCTTCATGAAAATTTGATCAAATCTTCATCTTGTTAATACAAGTAAAATGTTTTTTTGAACTATACAAATCGGACGCTCCGTTCTCTTAAAAACTGAGTTACCGTTTTTGGCACTTTTTGCCCCGTATTTCCGGAACGGCTAGAATGTTTTTTGAATTATTCAAATTGCTTCATCCGTGTTCCCGAAATCGTCGACGAAAATTTGTATCCGAACACACACACATGCACGCACACACACACACACATACATCAATTTTCTCCAAGGTATGCCAACATATTCAGAAACCTCTGAAACGTGAAGATATATAAAAATTTTCATTTTCGATTTTTTTGCGATTACTTACCCTATGGAAAGTTAATTATAAATAAATCAATTTATCATCTCCAGAACATTAACAATCGTCATTTCATTTCGAATCAAATTCCAAAAAAAAAAATAGTTGCCAAATTTACACAAAATTGAAAAAGTGCTCCCGCATAGTCACAGTCTGAACGCATTTGCAAATAATTCTGTGCGACATTTTCACTTATACTGTGCTCAGCTTGGCGGCATTTTCACATTTTTCAATAATTTTCACAAAATTGGAAAAGTGCTCCAGTACTCAAACAGTCTAAACGCACTTGGGTAAACATTTGTACCAGAGTGGCGCTTAGACTGTTCTTAGCTTGGGTGATTTTTTGAAAATTTAATCCAAAATTACAAAAAAATTTTTTTGAAAAAAAAATTAGAAACAAAATTTTTTTTTTTCCAAAATCAATTATTTTGTTGAAAAAAGCAGAAAGTTCTTTGAATCATTTAAATCGGACGCTTAGTTCACTCAAAAACAGCAATTTTTTTTAAATTTAGCTCTGTATCTCCGAAACCTCTGGGCCTACCTTTGCCAAAAACTAATCAGCACATCTCCCTATCAATAGGAATCGAATGTTTTTTAAACCATTCAAATCGGTTGATCCGTTCTCTTAAAAACTCGCTTTCTATTTTTGCACTCTTTGCTCCATATCTCCGTAACGGCTGGACCTGCCTTGCCAAAAACTAATCAGCACATCTCCCTATCAATAGGAATCGAATGTTTTTTAAACCATTCAAATCGGTTGATCCGTGCGCCCGAAAACGTGGACGAAAAAACGCGGACATACAAAACACACACACACACAACACACACACACACACACATCCATTTTTTCTGAAGTATGCCAAAATGTCAGAAACCTTCAAAACGTCGAGAAATGTAAAATTTTCAATTCCGATTTTTGGACGATTACTATA